TTTTATTTGTAAAACCTCCTTCACTTCATGAAATGGCTGCAGCATCAGGAGGCAGCCTCTGAGAAGTGCAGAACCAGCGCGTACACACCGCCTTCACTGTGTTCCCCACTGCAGGCTGCTACGTTTCACACACACACATCGAACGGCCCGATAATTCCCCCTATTACTCGTTGTATGAAGGAAATGTCCGGTCACAAAGGCGCATGATGTGTGTGTGTATGTGCTCTGCTCAGCTCCGCTGTGTGTGTGTGTATGTTCGGTGTGTTTGTGTGTGCAACAACGTCATTTATTTTCAAATGACCATGAACAGTAATTTACACACATCTGGCCAACTCCATAGGTATGTGGGTGTTACCAAAAGAAGTTAGTTTAATCTTAATCTCGATGTAGTGCTAAATGCTGTCGGAGTGCACCGGAACGAACGCCCTGGTATGACGTTATTATTGCTGGCAAACAAGCCCAGGGGTCTCACTGACATTTCAGTTATATCAATATGTGTACAGTGGTCCTAATTTGTTTTAATTGTATCCTGGTTTTAAACTGTGTTAATATGTTTTGGATGCATATTATTCTATTATTTGTTCAGGCTGTTACATACAATTAGCCACTGTTGCCACCTATATTAGGCTATATTATATATTATATTAATATTTGTAAAGTGGTCCTAATTTTTTGTTTTAATTGTTGTTAATTGTTTTAATTAACTTCAGGCTGTTAAATACAATTAGCCTCTGTTGCCACCTGCTGGTGAGTAAATATTCAAATCAGTTAAAATTGACAACCGGTCCGCACATTTTTTTTTATGTATCTGCCGGTCCTTGGCACAATAAAGGTTGGGAACCCCTGTTTTAGACAACACATGGTCTAAAGCTAAGGGCAGTGTGAATATTTCCTGAGGATTAATGCTCATTATTACATTTCTGCCTCGTTTTCATCCTTGTGGGTAAACTCCACAATTTTTGCTCTCCTGACAATCTGCTTTTTTTTAACATTGCCTTTAAAGTGCCAAAATACATCTTTCCTTTAAAGGTCTTACA